TTAAGTCTTTGATCCATCTGGAGTTCGTTTTTGTGTGTGGTGTGAGGTACAGATCTTGTTTCATTTTTCTGCAAATGGATCTCCAGTTTTGCCAGAGACATTTTATTATTGAGCACCTACTAAACACCAGGCCCTGTGCTAAAAGCACCAAGACAAAGAAGACAGACACCAACTCTGCCCTTGGGGAACTTTTTCTCTTGATCAGGAAATTAGCTCTGACATAACTGGTCCAAGGACCAATATTTGGAAACCACTGGTCTTACATTATTTCAGATTTTACTTTTTTCTTATTTTTTTTCCAAAATTTACTTCTATCAAGCACAAATAAACAATATCCCTCTGAAATATGTATAGAGAAAGCAGGAAAGTCCTTCATGTTTCTTGTGACTACACCAAAGACAAGGCAATGCTTCACTTCTCTTCAAATATTTATCTTAGTCCTAGAATAATTTTCAAGGTGGTCATACCTCCTTTGTAGCCTTCCCCTTGGCTTGGTGGTTTGGATGGGAAATGTCTTCCTGCCATATGCTGGAACCTGGGGATAACCACTCCTGAGCCTGCCCCTGCAGTGACAACTTTGGAGCCACCTCTCACACCAAGCCCTCTATGGGCATCACCACCACAGGTGGCTTCCTTTGCTGACTGACAGACAGTGCTTTTGCCACTTTGAACCATTTACTCTGTGTTGACGTGTGCCCTTGTGTTTATGCCTAACTGCTTCATTAGATTATAAACTTCTTGAGGGCAGCCTCCATTAGACTTAGAGCCTTGTATGTGTTATTCTTGGTATTAGTTACCATTGAGGCAGTTCTGACTCATGGCAACACTGTGTGTGCACAGTGGAACTATACTCCATAGGGTTTTCAATGGCCGTGAGCAGATTGCCAGGCCTGTCTTCTGAGAAATGTGTAGATGGGTTCAAACTTCCATCCCTTCATGCCAGTAGCTGAGCTCTTGACTGACCATTTGTATAACCAAGGGACTGGCTTCCTTGAACCTACCAGATGCTTAAAGAAAATTAAGCTGTGGTTGAATAGAGATAACAGACTGTACTTCTATTCTTGAAATGATTGCTAGACCAGGTTTCACATTCTTTCTTGGACTCTACTTTTTGAGTGAATTTAAAGATCTCCCACAACCCCTTTCCTTGCAGGAGATCAGAAAATAGCATAATGATGGTGTGGTGTAGTAAATTACATAGTGTGGCTTTTCTAGCCATAACTCTTTGTAAACTCCATGGTGGAATTTGTCATGAGCTACTGAGTAGCTCCTGATTGTTAAAATTATCCACCAAGGGTATTTCTGTTGGGAGCAGCACAAAGTAATTTTCTGGGAAGTTCACTCTCTCTCAGGTATATAGAATTCTGATGTTGGGATTGGTTAGTTTGGCCACTCTGCCAGGCTCAAAAGGAGCCCTCCTGGAAGCAGAAGGAGTCTCTCTGACTGCTGGCGGAGAAAGACATGCTACTGAGAGAAACACATTCCTGAGAGACATGAGAGACACATGCACTGCTGAGAGAGAGACATGAGAGACATGAGAGACATGCACTACTGAGAGAGTGATGTGCTATTGAGACTGCTGGCTACCAAGTGAGATGGCCCACTGCAAGAGACTGAGTGCATTTCTGAACTTGAATTGTGGTCTGGTGCTTCCCTAATAAACCCTATAATCTGTGAGTTTTGTGTTGGCACTGCAGCGAATTATCGAACCCAGCAGAGAGGTGATGGGTGCTGTGGGAAGAAAAGTTGGTGTCAGGCTGGTGAAAGGACTGGAGAGAGGCAGCATGTCTGGCCTCACAGGAATAGGCCTTGGACTACTGATGGTCTTTCTGTCTTCCTCTTGTGGTGTTAGAGGAGGTCAGAAGTTGCTGCCTCCCTTGCCTCTTTGGCAGATGGACATTTCAGAGAATTCTTAACAAGAGTTTTCTGTACTCTATGAGTGACATGTAAGGCCAAAAACATTAATGGATTTTTAAAAATTACATGTTTAATTTAGAGGGAAGTTTGTAAGCAGGTAAAGAGGCACCCTGACACTTCACAGTATACATTTTCAAGTGGACAAATATGAGTGTATTTGTACAGAGTTACTATTATGAAATTGTCTTAATTAGAAGCATGCTCAAGTGCATCCTAAGGAGAGTGTCACACTTTAGAATTTGGCATCAGAAAAACACTATCTCACCGAGTGTTAAGTCCTTGAATAATGTGTGATGAGAGTTGGACTGTTAAATTGCTATTTCTAATGATTTTTGTTTTAATTTCAGGAGTCAAATCCTGGTCAAATATCATGGAAATACTGGAAGAAAAGGATGGGGTTGACACAGAGCTGCTGGTTTATGCGATGACTTTAGTGAACAAGGTTGGTTGATGGTCAAAATTGGCCCTGCAAATACAAAACTAAGCATGTAGACCCCAATCATGGGGGCTGGAACTGTGGCTACAGCATGTCCCTTTCCAAGAGAAAACCCATGTACATCCACATGTGTGTGCGTACACGTGAAGGTCTATAGGTGCTTACATGCTTTCATCTTTTCTAATGAAACTGGAAAGGTGACAGCAAGAATTCTATGATTACTTTTCTATCAAGATGTTCTACTAAAACCGTTTTTCTTTACAAATATGAATCAGCATATTTTACTCAGCGGAAATAGTTCACAAGACAGGAAAAAGGAAGGGTACTCTTCTTCCCTGTGTATTGAATTCTGACTGCAGGAGACAATAAGTCCTGGGGGTGGACCCCATTCTCCTTTTGTGGTGGTGGCCACATCTCTGTGTCCCTATTCCTTCCAGCATGTCCCTTCCTGGTCACAACCGTGCCAGACAGTAGACCTCAGCACCTGTCACCAGATATCCTGCTCTGTGGCAGTGGTCAGGTCTCCCACTGACCTGGGACAGGACCAATATCTGATTGAGAGTATCTTCAGTCCAGTGCCTTGGTCCCTTTCTCTTTAATAATTAGGGAGGAGAGGGGACTTTTCCTGCTGACTGACATGTCCTAGACCCAGATATCACATCAATCATGCTATGACCTTCTGGTGATACTCTCCAGGCTTCTGGAGCAGGCCTACAGGACCAAATGAAGTGATGTTAATTCTTTAGAGAAGACCCAGAATCTGTCTCTCTTTGAAATATGAAATATAAATATGGCACATGTTTCCCTCTGATGAACTGGGAGACAACTTAGTGGAAAGCAACATAATTATAAGGAGTACTTCTCCAACATAGTTAAAATGTCATGTACATTGTAAGGATTAAAATACTGTGGTCTTGGGTCATTCATGGCTGGAGCAGAGGAACTCAGAAACTGACCCTGGTATGTGGAACAACTTGCCATGCAACCCAAACCAACAGGAATGAGTTAGCTTCCTTTGTGACTGGGGAATGTTTTGCTAAATGGAAATAAACAAACAATATATTTGGATCATGTGCTGTATTTTTCACAAATGTGCTCACCTAAAGAATGCACCTACATATATAACATTTACAAAAATGATGTAGGGAAAGGGCATTGTGTGGTTGGCAAAAACGTGTAACGTGTTATTTGTGTAACAATATTGTAGGTTTAATTCTAGTTAATTAAAGAGTTAAATGTAAAACTTCAAACTATAAAAAAAATGAAAAGAAACTAGAGGTGAAGGTTAATTGTTGTCTGGTTGGTGAAGATTATTTCGATAATAAAACCAGTGGAAAACGATTCCAAAGGAAACAACTCAAGTTTTGAAGTGCATAACATTGCAGAAAGTCTTATTTATAAAATAAAAATAAAAAATTGAATGTAAATGACAAACTGGGGAAAAATTGTTTGTAAAAGAACCGGACAGAAAATTATGCTATCCTAATTATACTAAGAACCCAGTAGAAAAATTGAAGTAGTTGGACCTAAGAATAAGGAAATAGATAATAAAGCAACAAGACATTTTTCTCAAGTCATATTGGCAATGATTAGTTTTTCTGTGAGGGGAGAAAGATTCTTTTTATTTTTAAATAATAATAGACTCACAAGAGTTGAGTTTGCTCCAATTGTTATATCCTACATATCTATACTATAATATCAAAACCAGGAAATTGACATTGGTATAAAGTGTGTATGTATGTGTGTGTATATGTGTGTATATACACACGTGTGTATATAAATGTATATGCACATATAATGTGTATGTTTGTACATGTGTGTATATACATGTGTGTTTATATATATGTACTATGTGTACTATGTAATATATGTTATTTTATCATGTATATGCTTATGTCATCTCCACCATTAAGATATAGAACTATTCCAGCACCACAAAGATCTTTCTCATGCTACACCGAAGTAGGGTTCTTTTCATTTGAGAAAGAATAAGAGAAATGGATATTTGTTAGTCAAGTAGCAATCTTTGCCATGTATTATTTATTTTTTAAAATACAATTTGTTGCTGAAGATGTAGGAAACTCTCTTATGGTCCTTGTAGGAAAGGGCACAACTTTTCTGAAGGATACTCCCAAGAATTCTGTTTTTATTTTCAAATCTATTGGTGAATTTAATTTCCTGTGTATTTTCAAACAGTTTTCTGATTTACTTTTTTTTGTTGTTGTTTTTGGACTTAGGGATTTTTGGTCAATTTACTATAGCTTATTATAAAAAGTATTTTTGCATTTATACATGGTTTGGAAGCATAACTTCCAGACTCCTCTCTCTCCCCAATTCCTAGTGGAGAAAAAGTAAAAATAATTAAGGTCATCTATCTCCTGTCATCTTCAGTCACTGACATTGTTTTAGAAAACACTGAATGCAGTAAAAATGGAATTTTCACCCTCTAGCACAGTGCTCTCCATTGTAAAATTTCATCGGGAGAGCCCACGTCTGCCTGTTGTGACTGTAGCACCACCTGGTGCAGCTTGGCCTTTGCTGCCAGTCACTGGCAAGGATGCAGTGTGTTTCACCCTTTGCTTGGCATCATATGGCAGTGAAGGTGCAGGAATTCCTCCCTTACTCTTTCTCTTCTGGCAGTTCTGTCTCTGTTAGTTCTAGCCCAGGGGAAGCCTGGGAGGGTTAATGAGGACATCACTCCAAATACAGTCCTTTGCTCAAAAAGATCAACAACTCACTGGCACCCACACTGGCTTTGTTTTGTTGAATTCTGGTGTGTTTATTGGCTCAGTGAGTAAAATCCTCTGAGATACCAAACAAAATTGGAATGTTAATATGGGTCTGGAAAAAATTCATACTCATAAATCTGGGAAATTACTATATTGCAAATTGAGTGGTTTCTGATTTTTACTTTCAGCCAAATGAGAGATGGCTTTAAAATAACATGGAGTTCAAAACAAGGTGTTATGGATTGAACTGTGTCCACCCCAAAATATGTGTTATAAATCCTGACCTCTATGCTTGTGGTTATAGTCCCATTTGGAAATGGGTTATCTTTGTTAATGTCATTGAGACAGGATTAGCATAGGGTATATCTTGAGTTAATCTCTTTTGAGATATAAAAGATTAAACATAAGTGAGGAAGCAGAAATGGGGGAAGAGAGATGCCATACCACATGAGGAAGGCCCAGGAGCAGCAGCTCAAAGAGGCAAGGACCTTCCTCCAGAGCCGATAGCAAGAGAATGCCTTTCCCTGGAGCTTGTTGTTGTTGTTGTTGTTGTTGTTGTTATGTGCCGTCGAGTCGGCCCCGACTCATAGTGACCCCTCCTTGGGTTTCCTAGGCAGTATCACTACGGAAGTAGATTGCCCCATCTTCCTTCCGAGGAGTGGCTGGTGGGTTTGAACCGCCAGCCTTCTGGTTAGCAGTCAAGTGCCTGAGCCACTATGCTACCCTGAATTCAGACTTCTAGCCTCCTAAACTGGGAGAAAGTAAACTTCTGTTTGTTAAAGCCACCCAGTTGTGGAATTTCTGTTATAGCAGCACTAGAAACTAAGATACAAGGTTTGCTATTTGAGCCTGCCTAAGGCTCCAAGACTGAAGTCTGTTGTCTATTTGTTAAACAGGGACAGTATCAGGGTAGTTTTCAAGGTCCAGACTCATTCATCAGAAGATCTGAGAAGCATCAGAAATTAACTTACCTCCTCACCCTGTAAGCTAATGTTAAACAATACTCTGTCTTAATCCAGTTGAAGTCCCTTCAGTAAGAGTCCTTGACTTTGGGAGGCTTAGGTTTTGGCCACCTTGTAGAATAGCATGAGGTATCTGTAGGGATGAGTAACAAGATATACTAATATGGGGCTGGCTTAGAACATTCAGAAGAGACAGGACCCCAGGGAGCCCTGGGAGAGGAGCCGCTCAAGCAGGGCCAGTGGATAATTAACCTGGATGGAATTCATGTTAAATATTGCCTCTGTTTTCACATTTAATTTTATTTTTTAAAATTATTATACAGTAAAATTGATTTTTTTTTTCCTTTTGGTATATGGTTGACCTTCCATATCTGTGTGTTGTCCATCTGTGCATCCCTGGACTCAACCAACTGCTGATGCAGATATTCATTGTTGTTGTTATTTGCCGTTGAGTCGGCCCCTACTCATAGCGACCCCTCCTTGGGTTTCCGAGGCAGTATCACTACGGAAGTAGGATTGCCCAACCTTCCTTCCCATAGGAGAGGGCAAATAAGTGATCAGAGCAATCCCCTCAAGACTAAGAGGGAGCATAAAGTACTATTTACCATATAAAATAGCATTTACATTGTTAGTCAAGTAGCAATCTTTACCATGTATTATTTGTATTACATTGTAATACAAGTATTATAAGTATTCAAGACCTTATTTAAATTATAAAGGAAAATGTTCATAGGTTATATGCAAATGCTATAGCATTTTATATAAGGAACTTGGGCACCCATGGATTTTGGTATCTGTAGAGTGTCCTAGAACCAATCCCTGTGGATACCAAATGATGACACTTTATGCATTTTGACATATACATAAATGTGGGTAATCCCCACAATTAGGATATGGCATAGTTACAACTCCCCAAAAGTCTTCCTTGTGTTATCCTTTTATAGTAACTCCCTGTCCGCCCCCCAACCTGCAACCCCTATCAACCACTGATCGGTTCTCTGTCATAGTTTTGTCTTCTCGAGAATGTCAAATAGAACCATCCATTATATAATCCTTTGAGGCTGACTTCTCTGCCTTTGAAATTCATTGATGTGCTTGCATGTATGAATTGTTTGCTCCTTTTCTACCACTGTATAGTGTTCCATTGTATAAACACTTTGTAATTTGTTTATCCAACCCATTGAAAGAGATTTGTGGACTGGTAGCACTTGGCTTTTGCAAATATTACTGCTGTGAACATTTTAAACAGGTTTTTGCCACATTGGTTTTCCCCTAAAACAAAGATTTGATGGAATCAATGAAAATCCAGAAATGG